TTGCAACAAATTAGTTTATTTGTGATTTTTAGGGATGCTGGCCAAACGAGGAGCTAAATGGGCATAGAAAGTGGAAAGTGGCACAAAAACCAAAAATTACCAAAAGAGTGATTTTTGTAATATTGGTAACTTTGGAAAATGGTACATTTTAGAGGTTCTTGGGATTTATTTTTTTTTGTCACAAAATGGTTTATTTGTCATTTTTAGAGATGCTAGGCAAACGCGGACGTAAACGGGCGTGTAAAGTGGCACCAAAACCCAAAATTACCTTAAGGGTGATTTTGGTAATATTGGTAACTTTGGAAAATTGCATAATTGCAAGGTTCTTTGAGTAATTTTTTGTTCACAAAAGGTTTTATTGGTCAATTTTCGGTATTCACGGCAAATGGGAAGGTAAACGGGCGTATAAAGTTGCACCAAACCCCAAATTTACTAAAATGGCGATTTTGGTAATATTGGTCACTATGGAAACCTTCATAACGGCAAGGTTCTCCGATTAATTTTTTTGCCATAAAATGGTTTATTTTTAATTTTAGTTTTAAAAATGGTATAACTGCAAGGTTCTCCGAATAATTTTTCTTGGCCACAAATTGATTTATTTGTCATTTTTAGGGATTTTGGCAAAAGATAGAGGTAAATGGTCGTGGAAAGTGGCACGAAAAAAAAACTAAAACTTACCAAAATGGAGATTTTGGTAATGTTGGTTAACTTTGGAAAATGGCGTAATTGGAAGGTTCTTAGAATAAATTTTTTTGCCACAAAATGATTTATTTGATTTTTTTAGGGAGGTCGGGCCAACAGAAAGCTAAACGACTGTGTAAAGTACCACCAAAACACAAAATTACCAAAAGGGTGATTTTGGTAGTATTGGTAACTTTAGGAAATGACATAATTGTAAGGTTCTCTGAATAATTTTTTTTTTTTGCCACAAAATGGTTTATTTTTTAATTCTAGGGATGTTGGCCAAACAAGGAGGTTAACGGGTGGCACCAAAACCAAAAATTACCAAAAGAGCGATTTTGGTAATATTGGTAACTTTGGAAAAGAGCATATTTTCAAGGTTCACCGAATAATATTTTTTGGCCTGAAATTCATTTACTTCTTATTTTTATGGATGCTGGGGAAACGGAAGGTAAAAATATTATATTTTTTCGCCACAAATTTTTTTATTTGTCATTATACGGGATGCTGGCCAAACAGGGAGATAAAGGACGTATAATAAAGTGGCCCCAAAACCCCAGATTACCAAAATTACCAAAATGGTGATTTTGATAATATTTGTAACTTTGGAAAAGGGAATACTTGCAAGGTTCTCCGAATAATTTTTTTGCCACAAAATGATTTATTTGTCATTTTTAGAGATGGTGGCCAAACAGGCAAGTAAACCAGTGGGGAAAGTGGCACCAAAACCCAAAATTACTGAAAGGGCGATTTTGGTAATATTGGTAACTTTGGAGAAGGGCATATTTTCAAGGTTCTCCAAATAATTTTTTTTACCACAAAATGGTTCATTTATCATTTTAAGGTATGATGGTCAAATGGGGAGGTAAACGAGGGTGAAAAGTGGCACTAAAACCCAAAATTACAAAAGTTTGTTACTTTGGAAAAGGGCACATTTCAAGGTTCTCCGAAGAATTTTTTTTTTTTTTTTGTTAGCAAAGGTTTTATTTGTCTTTTTTGGGTTCTAGCAAACATGGAGGTAAACAGGCATGTGAAGTGGCACCAAACCCCAAAATTGCTACTATTGGTGACTTTGGAAAATGGCATAACTGCAAGGTTCTCCGAATAATTTTTTTTTTGCCACAAAATGGTTTATTTATCATGGATGCTGGCCAAACGGGAAGATAAACGGGTGTGGAAAGCCGCACCAAATCCGAAAATTACAAAAAGGACAATTTGGATAATATTGATAACTTTGGAAAGGGGCATTTCACGATCAGTCAATGCACAACATTGGATACAACAAGTTACTGGCTTTTTGGCCCTTAATGTCAAATTAATTAATTAATTAATTAACATTTTGATGATAACAAACTTAATTTTGTTATTTGACAATTTTAATATTTTAAAGTGTTCAAAATGTAGAGCTTGAAACAGCGATTCCAACGTTTTTGAATTACACAAATCGGAATTCAAACAAAAAAGTTATAGCCAAAAGAAGGTGTAAGAAAAAATATATGTGACGATGACGTGGCAGCTAAATCCTACGTTAACGAATAGAGGACATGTGGCGAGCTGAAATCTTTTAATTTATAAAAGAAATGGGAAAGAAAAAGAAAAGAGAAAAAAGAAATGGAAAGGAAAGGAAAGGAAAAGAAAAAAAAAATGACAAAGGTAACTTGAGGAAAGAAAAAGTAAAATATATATATGTCACATTAAATGTTGATTTGATTTTGAAAAGAAAAAAGAAAATTATATATATAACTATATATATGGCACTAACCGTTTGATATATATATGTATAATTAGTATTCTAATATTATTATTATTTTATAATTATTTCTTTTGAAAGCAAATCTCAACCATTCATTTGTTTTTTATTCAAAATTTGTTTGGGTGAAAATAGTACTACTACATAAAGGACAGAAAAAGGTCAAACTTTGAAGGTCTTCTCTTTAGTGGCCGACTTGAAAATCTTCCCTTTTGTGGCCGACCTGAAGAGCTCCCTGAGGACCGACCTAAGGTCTTCCCTGAAGATCATTCAAGGGAGGAACGATCTTCTATACTTAGTCAAATTTTGGATGACAATCATATGAACCTCGACAGGCTGACCTCGGTCTCGACATGCTCAACCGCCGGTCGGATTACTTGTTAGGTACCACAACCTATAATAGGGCACTAAACTCTTCAGCCAGGTATCATATCCTAGCTCGGTCTCCATATTGAGGTCGGACTCAAAACTGACTTGAGCGTCGGAGTATTTGTTCCCTTGTGTAGGTATTTCTTCGCCAAGTGGCCTTTCAGCTCATTCCTGACACTCCAGCTCATCCCAGTCAGCCGACCTTGACCCTTTGAACTGGTCATCCCTTTCCAAAGATTGCTCTCCCGACGGTCATACTTGGAGTTGGTCGAGCTCTTCCGTGTGGCCGACCTTGACCAGGTCATACCCCGTCACATTTTTTGCATAACAAAATCTAATGGTCTAAATCAATTGTGATTTCAAACTCTTTTCCCTCTATTTAAATAACTCTTCTCTCCCAAAATCATATATCAATTCTATTCATATTTCTCTCCAATTTTTACATTCTTCTTCATCTTCAAAAGCTTCAATGTCATTATAATTTCTTGTGAGAGAAATTGTATTTTGAGAGATATTTGAGTTATTCAATTTTATTTTTCCGAGCCATTTGAGGGCTTTATTTTGTAAGAATTTTTCTTACAAAATTTGTGAGCGAAAATTTGTATTGAACACGCAAGAGGAGCTTGGCAAGTGGAGTAGGCCGATTATTGTCGAACCACTGTAAATTTCTGGTGTCGTTTTCTCTAACTCTTCTCTGTTTAATTTTTGCAATTAATTTTCTTAGAATTTGGTATTCAAGAGAGAGAAAGAGAATATATTTTTTAGTACAATATGTGGGGTGGGGTTTCGAACTCACAACCTCTTGGTTTGAGATATATGTCAATTTCCGCTGAACTATACTCTTTTTGATTGGGAGGAAGAGAAGATAAAAATGAAAAAAGAAATCATATAATTGAAAAACAATATAAAAAAATAATAAATATACAACTTAGTGGTACCATGTCAGAATTCTGTGAGTGACACTAACAGAAAGTATCTTTTAGAACCATTTTTCAACCAAACGGTCAGTTTTTAAAATTTATGATCAAATAGAAACCTACTTTCAAACTCAATCATGAAAAATATATTTTACCTACTATTTATTTTGGGTAACTATTTTTCCCGTTGTAAGGTAACAATTCCCTCAAAGTAGCTCCCTTACTCAACACAATTTTTGAAAGAGGAGATTGAGAGAATGGCTGTAAACTATATCAAAAACTAAGGTTGTGTCCATTTTATCCAAACGAATCTAGTCGAAGGCTTTTTTTCCATCTCTTCCTTCCTTTTATACACTAGATTCTTCACTTCCGATACATGTTCTCCATTTTCCAATTTCTTCAAAATCACTTTCATAATTTATGATTAAAAAATAATTATTTAACAACCTAAATAATGAAATTCGCAATAATTCTTTAGGCCTATTTGGTATGCCATTCAAATTCACTAACCAAATTGAATTAAAAAATATCTTGGATTTGAATATGCTCGTAGGATAGATCAGTATTAAGTGCTCAATAAGTTATGATCCAAAATTCAAAAAAGGCTATCATGAATACCAAAATAGCTTACCGGATGCACCATCAAACTCACACGATTCTATCGAGTGGGGGAATGCGAACTTTCATCAGTTTTCTTTCCTTCTTTCTGCTTTTATGGTAAAATGAACCTGCTTATCACAGTTAGTACTGCGAAAGCATTTGCCAATGCGGAACAAAAGGGTAAAAACTTGTTTCATGCTAATTCCTTTATTACGTCGTTCAATTCAAAGAGTCATTTTGACATCTGCTTTCAATGCTTACTAGTAAAAGTGTGGTTGTCTCTTCTTTGAGGTATAACTAATAATAATAATAGGTTAAATACATGTTTAGTCCTTCCTAATTTTTCAACAGATGATCCCTTATGTTTTAACATTTTTTAATTTAGTTTCGCATGATTGGTATATCAAAATAATTTTTCAATAGATGATCCCTTATGTTTTGACATTTTTTAATTTAATCTCTCATGGTTGGTATATCAAAATTGAGCGACGATAAACTCACATAACATTATATCACGTGAACTTATGGAAATTTATGGAAGCTTCTAGAAATTTGAAGAAAAAATGTCACCAAGACAATAGCTTAAAATTTCTACCAATTTCTTAACATTTTGGAACAAGATTAGCAACTTTTCTAAAATATTAAAACATGAAAATATGAAATAAAAACTTGTTAGACGAGACTACATTTAAAAAGCTCCCAAACATCAGGGGCTGAAACAACATATATTTAGCCACCGTATGAAGTAGCTATTGTTCCAATTGAAACATGTCACCTTTAAAGTCCAAATATGTAGATACTCAGGACCGAGTCAGTTTTAGTCCTTTTTTGCCAACATTTCTAAAAATTTAGAAATGAGAAATGAGATGAATTACCAAACATGTCTGTTTCTCAACAAATGAAAAATGAAAACAAGAAACAAAAGATGTGAACGTTACCAATCGGGTTCTAAGTTCCCCAAATATGTAACAAGTACAACTCACTGAGTTCTTAAGGCTTTGATCCAATCAATTTCCATTCTGAAGTCACCAGGGCCAGATTGGGCACCGGGAATGCCACCAGCGGCATTAACTGATAACGACATGCCAACGATACGAGATGGGTTCATTTCCAACTCTGAATCTATAACATTTCCTCTCCATGTTGGTAAATATCGATCAAGAGGAATCTGACAAAAACGAAACAGTTAATCGCAAACAGTATGCATAGAACCAGTTTTGAAGCTAAGCAAGGTGACTTGCCTTGGCAATATACCAATCATCCTTAGGGGCTATAACAAATGCTTGCCACGAATTATCCTCCTCCTGTCCTGGTGAGTTTACCCAATTCTCAGTGTAAATCTGTGAACGAATTTGTAGATATTCAGTTTAAACAGGCAAATGTTTTTGCCTTTCCATTCTTCTTATTACCTGGAGAAAAAAAAAAGAAAAAAAAAAACAAAGGCACTTACAGTGGATATATAGCATCTTCCATCTCCTTTAAGTTTCAGCGCAATTGAATCATAAGCATCCAAATCAATGAAACCATCAAACTGTAGTAGAAAAAACATAAAGAGAAAGCATTAGCAAAAAAAAGTAAATACAGCTGAAGAAGAGCATGAAATATAAATGACTTCTGTGGTCAAAGAAAGAAGTCAAAACCTGTTACGAGAGAGAGATCACCAATGAATTCTTATATTTAGCCTAAGGGGATTCAAAAAAAGGATCGAACCAATTCCAAAGCTGCACTTAAATAATATTTGGGGAGTATAAGGAGATATTGAGAACAAAATGCGAGGGAAAATAAGCCTATACTGCACCAAAACCAAAAGAAAATAACACTAATACATAACAAATTACGAGCTAAAAGGTGCCAATTATGATACACTTCCAATTACGGGAATGTCTATTCAATCTTGAATTTAATCTGTAATCCATAATATAAATCAATTCTCACTCATGCCACGAAGAAGCTGAAGCACAAAGATGAAGTTGAAGGCATCTCCTGCCTTTGCCACCGCCACCATTACTCATGGAGAAGAAGATTTTAAGAAGAAGAATAATAAAGAAGAGGAAGAGTGTGGGAGAAGAAGAAGAGTTTGGATGAAAAAGTAGAACCAAAAACAAGAGTTGGAAGGAGAGAAGAGAGAGCTGGAAAGAGGAAAAGAAAATACCATGAATAAAAAGAAAATAAAAAAAAGTAGGAGAAGTAAAAGAGTCTTTGCCCTTAGTACTAGTTGGATGAAACCGTCATATGGCAGTTTACCTCTTTTGATGACACTTTCTAGGTTACACGATGCTGTAAGATGGCAGATTCCTACTCTCAATAAATACAATGTCTTTTTTTGGATGAACATAAATACAATGTCTACAAACCACCTTTTATACTTAAAAAAAAAAAAAAAAAAAAACTGACTTACTGTTTTAAAAAATCTAACTTTATATCTTTTTTTAATATTAAATGGTTTTTATAATATTTTTATGCTTTTAGAATGGAGTACTTTTTATTATTATTATTACTCTTTTTTTCCTCCCTCAAAAAGGAAGACAACCAAAAGCCAAAGGGTTGAGATTACCCTCCAAAAAAAACTAGACAATGGCCACCCCAATTTCTAACTAACTAACATGTGTAGACTATAATTACAAAATAGTTTTGTTCGGATCCCAAATACAAGAACCTAACAAGATAACTATATTGCAATATCAAAAGAGAAATTACCATATCGATAGCCTTTCGAGAGGGCTATCCTCTCTCAAGAACTCTCTCAAGTTCCTCACCAAAATACTATTCCCAAAGATATCTTCCTTTCCCCCTACTACCCTTATTTATAACCAACTCACCCCTATCTAATTATCATAACACCCCTAACCATGTACTATACCATTCCTTAACTAACCCTAATAGAACTCTCACAAGTTTGTAGTCGTTTATAGACCACCACAAAGCAATAATGTTGTACATTGCTATGAAAACTCTCCTCAAGGGGTTGTGTATCTTCAAAAAGCCTACAATTTCTTTCTTTCCAAATCAGCCAAAGGACCACCCTCACTGCACAATTCTACCACACAAAAGCTTTGCAGTTAAGTAAACCTCCTCCAAAGTTTTCCAAAAACAGGTCACCTATCTTCTTTGGAAGGCAAAACGTAATACAGAACTCCGTACGCACAAAAGCCCAAGCCATAGAAGAAAATGGGCAATGGAGAAAGAGATGGTCCATTAATTCTGTTGAGCGATTACATAGCCCGCAAATTGAAGGAGAAAGAGACTAGAAAGGAAACCCGTCTTTGAAGTCTATGAGCAGTGTTTATACTCCTATACAATAAAATCCAAAGAAAAAATTTCACTTTCTTCGGAACCTTGAAAATCCAAATGTAGGAGACCACCGGGGCTTTCAACTTAAGGTTTGACAAGAAGAGAGAAAGCTGATTTATCCGAAAAAACCCCACTGCTATCACCCTTCCACCACAATTTGTCCTTTCCTTCTCATTACCTAGCTGCAAGAACTCGATCTTCTCTATGAAGCTCGCCCATCTAAGGAGCTCTGTATCAAAAAGATTTCTCCTCAAGCCCAAGTCCCAAGTAAAAGAGAAGGGCACCCAACACTCTGCCAAAGAACACCCTTTCTTATTAGAAATCTCGTAGAAATCCGGAAAAAGAAACTGAAACTGGAGAAGAGACTGCCCACGGGTCCTCCCAAAACCACACATTCTCCCCCTTTGACACTTTGAAGGTAACCAAATTCAAAAAGCCTCCTCTGTTTCAGCAATATCAACCCAAGGGCGACCTCTGTACAAATATTTTTTTCTTTTAACTATATTTGTTATAAATAATATTTGTATGGTTAATTTATTTTAAAATATTACTACATCAATATATATATGTATGTGTTATCTAAATTTTATTTAAAAAAAAATAATGTGTCCCCAACGCGTTCATATTCTACATTTTAACAAATTGGCACGTCGTTGTGTCCATGTCGTGTCCATGCTTCTTAGGGTACGAGACATTTTGAGTGAAACCAAAAGCAAAGTCATCTATGTACCAGTGGAAAATATCATATCATTATGAAAATACATGAGATCGTTGTCCGTAACACCTCTTGTATTCTTTCATTTATTCTCAATGAAAATTTTTCTTTTCAAAAAGAAAAAAAATAATAATAATAATAAATCAAAAATTCAAAAGACAAGCCAGAATACATTCACCTTTTTGGAGCGCATTCCACAAAAACCACTCCTGGTTATGTTCCATTTTGAGTTCTCACTTACATTCAAGGAGAGGTGCCCAGAGAATATTCCTACAGAAGTTATATATAGGATAAGGTTAATGAATAAAAGTAATAGGAAATAAGACTCCACATTGCTAGGGCTAGCATACAGAGGAAGCGATAATTTTCCTATTTCTTCTGGCATGAATATAGTAGAAAGAAAATATCAATCTATAGAAACTAAACTGATTTTGCTATTACAAAATTTCTTGGACCTCCTAAATTAGAGAGTAAATACCGTGTGCTCCCCTTGACTTGGTACTGCACTAGTAAATTGTATGTACTCCTCTAACTTGTTTCTAAATTTAAAAGTCTTCTCATCCATAACCACATGACTTTTGCCTCACAGACAACAAAATTCTACAATTTGCTACAAGACTTTTTGGGAAAATGTGTCGCTCCTTGGAAACTTTGATTTAATGAGAGAAGAAATAATGCATTTACTAAATACGTCTTAGGAAGAGACAAAAAATATATAACATAGAAAAATACCAACAACCATCAAGCTGATAATTGCATTTAAATGAAGAAGACAATATACTATACAGTACCACGCAGCTCATTTCCAGTTTCAGTGATCTCCAAAGATGCTGAAGATAATCCTGGAAGCAATCAAATGAAGAAAACTAAATATCTTATTCGAAGTTTATTAAAATAAACCATTACACAATTTTCTGCTTCTCCTTATCAGAAGTTATTGATGGCAATTGAGCTAATATCACGATTTTTTGGAGCAAAGCTCCAACTCCTAATTATCAAAAAAAAAATCACGATTTTAGCCAATAAAGGAAATGCTGTGCAAATTTTTGCATGAAACTGTGAATTTGTCGTTTAAAATGAACTATTCTGCATTTTTATTTCACTTCCAGGAAAAATGACAAACAAAAACCTGAAATGGACCGAATTTTGAAAAAGAACTGAAAATGTATCAACACAAAATCAGAATGCTAAATATCTTTCCTTTCACTCATGGAGCAATAGGTAGAAATACAGGAAGGATAGACAGCATAGACGCACCGACACATACCTCCATACTCGGAATCTGAATATAAATGCCACTTCTTAACTTCTTGCTTGGAATTGAAATYGAATATGTATTTTTCAGTGGGAGGTATCCAGTCCTCAACATTCCAAGCGAGAGCTATGATATGATATCAAGAAAAAAGGCTTTAATAGTCCTCTACATAGGTTCACATGGGCAGCGTAGACAACTTAGGGTTAGAGAAGGTAACTAAGCAGGTATTAGGCTCACTGAAGAAATATCTACAGACATAATGCTGAAGCTTGCAGATTCAACACTAATTAAAATAACCTTTTCTTGTTGTATTTACATAAGCCTGCCAGAGTGCTCGCAGTTTCGACATCTTTCATACACAGTCAAGCTCTTACACCATATGACGACCTGGAGAGGTAATTTAGACCCAGCCATGAAAGAAGATACAAATCTACAGATTAAAGCATAAAACTTTATCTGAAACAGACAACCTTCACCTGATGCAATATTAAGTATGAAAATACTAAAATTCAAACCGAACATTGAGTGTAATTTTGTAAATGTGTAATTGAATTATTCGTTCGCAACTTGAGAATTGAGATCATTGTTTCCCTTAGGCCTTACGGACTCTTTTGGGTACAAACAGAATTAAAATAAATGGTTCGAGGAACTCACTACTCTATCCAACGGAATCGAGCGAGAGGCATTGTCGTTTTGGTTGGAGTCAATTAAGATTCTCGAAAAAAAAAAGCCTTTAAACAATTCCTTTCCAATAGCTCTCTTCAACTAAACTTGTTCCTTCCACCAAAACCATAATTGCAGCTAATAATTTGTGGAAAATCTATCTTCCTACCCCATAAAACAGTTTCCTCTTTACAATTCATCAAATTTGCTCATAATGATCTCCTCCTAGACACTTTTAAGCTCCCCCACAGTGAATATTTTGGCACCATACCCCAATAGTGATATTATTCCAACTCTAACTCCTCTTTCCAGTTTCTGAACTTTTTCATCCGCTTGAAACCTGGTCACCTTCTTGTATTGTCTTCCTTCCAACACTTTTTGACCTTCCACACCAACAATTTCCAGAGTGAAAAGGTATGCATCCTCACTGTACGTTGTTCCACGGCTTAGAAGCATGTTCACATAAAATTCTAGTTTTTCCATAGGCTCTAGACTCTTCAAAAAGGTCTACCTATTCTTTTGAAATGATAAAGCAATCTAGTAGTGATCAGATTGGTTCCTCCATCATGTTCGATCCTATATACCTTCCATTTCTCTGAAGCAGTTCTATGAATCCCAAAATATCGATTACATTACAAAACTTCCAGTATTCTCTGTCCTTCTATAATAATTGGATTTCTCATATGCCCACCTAGTTACATTAAAAACTAAAATCTCCCCAACACCCCCCATACTACGTGATACTAACCAGCCAAGCCCTCAACTTCCTTCCTATGCAATTAACCAGTTCATACATTACTCAACCAACATCATCTGAGTTCTATAATGACTCAACCATTTCCTAGTTTATGCAAGGTTCAGTTTAGTTCAATTTTTAGGTCACATTAAAAAGAAAAAACAAATCAAGAATACCCAAATTTTAAAAAACATTAACTCACAAAATAGTCCAAGAATACTCAAATTTCGGCAAACATAAACTCATAAAATACTCCAAGATCTCCACAAACTTAATCTTATACAAACAGTTCAAATAGCCACAGAACCAAATTCTCTAAAGTTTTTTTTTCCCTTGTTTTCCTTTACTTCATTTTCACGTATGATCTATTCTTTTTAGAAAAAAGTGAATTATTCTTTCTTCCAAAATCACGCATTTGTGACCAGTAATTTCAGTGTACATAATAATATAACCTTTACAGTTTACACGT